ACGACGGTAAAAGAAAATTTTGCAGTAATGACAAGTTTCTGTCTACTTATGAAGGATAGCAGAGAGCTAAGAAAGCAGACCGCAATAACACACTGAATTCCAACCTCTCTCGTGCAAGTCCTTTGACAAAGGTGAACTGAAACAGCTGAAGAGAACAGCATTGCCTCCCATTCTGCTCTGAGCTGGAGGAGATGCTCTAAGTGCAGCACGACTTAGCGGGATTAGAGATTTCATTTACAGGGACTAGAACACTCTACAATATCATAAATTGGGATTCATACGACATCATGAGTGGAAGATGTGCTCAAAGATGACGTATGACCCTTTTTTCATACATTCCAAAAGGCCATGTGCAACTTCCTTCCTATATGAGGGAAATACAAATTATGTGGCAGAAAGCTGATTTCTGCCATTACCGCAGCAAATACCTAGAGTGAAAAAGGATGGGAAAGATCTCCAGAATGCACCCAAGTGGTCAGCAATAGGAAAACGTGCTCTCAAGTAAAGTGCCTATGCCTCTTTCCTCCCTCCAGATGAGAGAGGGTCGTTATTTTTCCCATCTAAGCAGAAGGAAGGTAAGCATTTGAAAAGCTAAAACCACCTTTAGCAGAACTATCCTCCTTTTAAAGAGGGCTGTATTTGTACTGTGCAGCATTTAAAACTCCTCATTATTAGACTCTGCAATTCAGCATGAGAATATGAAATGGTTGTTTATCTATCCTGTCCAGGTTGCCCTTCTAGGTTAGGGCAGAGAGAGCACAGAAGCAACATATTTTTAGAAGACAAACATATCCCAGCGATTTGCTACACCACAGCTTGTCTTTATTTAAGTTTTTTCCATTGCTCTGCTGAGAACACCTTTCTACATTTATTGCCATGAAGTTTATTACTCATTGTTTCCTTGGATCAAAAAATTATGGCTTCTTTACATCTAAATGGCTGACAAAAAGGTAACGTAGATGTTAAGGGCACAAAATCATAGCTAAAGGGATGAAGCCATATGTGCATTGAATCACAAACCCCAAATCACTATGAAAAGAATGCCATGTCACACAATATCTGGTACTGCTTGTTATCAGCCTTATCTCACAAAATGGAACTGTCTACTAGAAGCAGACTGAAAGGATACACAATTACTTAGACAGTTTTGATGCGCTTCTGCTAATGCACTTTGCTAGATCAAAACGAAGACTTGCAACTGCACTTTCTCCCATCTTTTTCAGTCCTGACTCAAAAGCTGTTATTTCTGCACCTCGTACAGGAGCAGCAAACCTATGCTCCACTGCTGTCACACTCACTCCTCACACTGGTTTTACACTTACTGAAATACAAATCATTCCCAAGCAGAAGATTTCTTCTTCAATTGTCCAGTGCTCTGTTGTAATTCAGAATTACTTTGGAAATGTAAGAGAGACAAATTTTGCAGCTGTTACTCAGAGGTAATGTTACTTAGCATTGACACTCTAAGAACTGCAGGGGAAGATTTTTTCTAAGGTGTCAATAGACTGAAGAACAATACAGTTTTTTGAAGCTTCACTGATGGTTCACTGCTTTCACTACAATGCAAAAAGCCAATCCATCCCTTTCTTTGTATTAATTAGATTAATTCTATTTTATTAACTGAAACCTACTGCTGCTTTTCCAGCCTTTTTACTCAGATGAGGCTCTGTTTTTCTCTTTTCCTCAAAAGCCAAAGTAATTTACCTTTTCAGAAATCCCAAACCTCTCCAAGAGCACAGGTACAAAAGCCTCAAGCATACTTAACATGATTTTTATGTACGGTATTTGAACAGTCTGGAGTATCTTAAAAGTCTCCTCTAACTGGGTCTTTTGCTTCTGGGCATGCAGAACTAGATGTTTTCTGCCTTAAAAATAAAACTTGTTAAGTCTTAGTTAATAATTACTATTATTTAATCAACTCTTATGAAAAAAACCTAAACACTGCAAAATATTTTAAAGCAACTTCTGCAGTAGCTCCAACAGAGAGATTTGGGGTTTGTTATCCCTGTGTAAAATCCATGTAGACTTAATTGTCAGCGGAGCAGAGACAGCATGCCTCTGGCTCCTCCAGAGACTGATTCTTACTTTAATGTTTCACTGCTTTTAAATAATGAGTGTGATGCCAAATACATTAAAAACCAAAAGAAACATGCATGTCAGAACTGATGACTGCTAAGGTAGCCACAGTTCAGAAAGTACAACTTTCCAACTGGATAAATGTTCGTAAGTCACAACATTAAGTACTATATATTAACTTCCCTGGAACCCAATGCTAAAAACAAGACTAAGTTCTCACTACAGAAAAAAATGTTTTATTATCATTTTTCTTTCTCTTTCAGGATGCTGGTTTCCATCCACCCCCAACCCAAAAATACCCATCTTAAAATACAGTGTATTACAAGACGTTAGCATCATATCAGAAATACAGTGACCTCTGGATGAGTCATTCAATCAAATCTTCTCAGCAAAGAAAAACAGCAGACCAAGCAACTAAGCATTTAAGACATTCTGACACTTCCGACAGCATTACTGAGTGTTCAGCTTTGAATATTCAAAATGTTCAAAAAATAGCCACAGACTATGGAGGAACTGGACATTTATAAAATGAGGAAGCATATGTCTATGAAGATAAGAACACCAATTCTTTTTTAAAGAAAGAGCAGGTACTAAAGAAAAAGAGTGGAACCTGATAAATAGCCATTAACAGTTGCAACACTAAGAACCACAGGAACTACTAGGTTGGATCAAACGGGGATTGGCCGTTACCAGAAGCCAAGCAACACTTCTAAGGTATATCCAAGAACACGATAAGCCACAAAGATTCCACTTTTAAGTTCTATTAGCAGCAATTAGAATAATAGAATCATAGAATGGTTTGGGCTGGAAAGGACCTCCGAGATCAGGGAGTCCCACCCCCCCGCCATGGGCAGGGACACCCTCCACTAGCCCAGGTTGCCCAAAGCCTCATCCAGCCTGGCCTTGAACCCCTCCAGGGATGGGGCATCCACAGCTTCTCTGGACAACCTGGGCCACTGCCTCACCACCCACACAGGAAATAATTTCCTTCTAATATCTAGTCTAAATCTGCCCTCTTCCAATTTAAATCCATTACCCCTCGTCCTGTCGCTACATGCCCTTGTAAAAAGTCCCTCCCCATCTCTCCTGTAGCCCCCTTTCAGCACTGGAAGCTGCTCTAAGGTCTCCCCGGAGCCTTCTCTTCTCCAGGCTGAACAACCCCAACTCTCTCAGCCTGTCCTCATAGGGGAGGTGCTCCAGCCCTCTGACCATCTTTGTGGCCCTCCTCTGGACCCGCTCCAACAGCTCGATTGAGAGAGTTTACTCTCTAAACATCTGAAAAATAAAATTTCATAGTGCTTCTAAAAAAAAAAATTAACTACAGAAGCTTCGGACAGTTACTAATTTAATATGCAAATTCTGTGTCTTGCTAAATTCAAGGCTTCAACAGCATCATGCTTGAACACACTTCCACACAGGATATGGGGATGTTATAATTATTTACAAGTTCATTAGCATCATCCATGTGAAATGAGAGCAGTTTTTCTACATAATTCACTATGTTCCCTGTAAGTTCTTCCTGTATTTCTAAATTATTTTGCTTTCTTAAGGTGTCTTTTGATGTTGCAAGGTGTGTTTTTTTTAAGACAGGACAAGAAATTTTGTACTCTAAATGATGGGATGACTTTAATTTCTGATAGTAAAAAAAATCCCACAACAACAATAACAAAAAAAAAAATCAAACAAAAAACCACATACCACTTGACCTGTGTGTAATAGATAGCTGTTGACGTAGTTCTCTTGGGAGTCGATAGCCAAAGAGCTTTGTCAGAAATGCTTACAAACCCTTACACACACGTTTGCTGCAAAAGCTTTATTTGTATGATCCCACAGCAGCAGAACTGAATTGCGTGCACAGCCCCCAAGACGCAAGTCAAGCAGCAACAATGTCCTTACAAACAGAGAAAAATACGGACAGGCTATTTTATATAAGATTCACTGTCAGGTCAAGGAACACAAGAGTATTGATGTGCAGACTATATCCAACACCCAACAGTCATAACTGGTAGTGCCTATTTTAGGCCCATCCATGGCCAGTTTCCACTGATGCAAATACTACAGAAAACAGCAGAATGTCATGTACTGCTCTACGTGTTGAATGCTTAAACAACAGCTAAGTTTTCCCTTTCGTCCATAATATTTCTATGATGCAGGAGTAGCTGGGTTTGCCTCTGACTTCCAGAGCCAAGTATCCTTGGGCATTGCCAAGACCACATAGACACAACAGCAGGAAAACAGATAATATTTCTGCCCAATACTGCACTGTCTAAGCAAATTCAATGTAAAAGGTAAATCAAGAAGTAAAGCCTACAATGAGCTTTGCGCAGTCCTTGGAATTAGCAAGTATGAGGCTGATATTTAAACATTAAATGTTTGACTGAGGCACTACAAGGGAAAATCCAAAGAATCAGTTGAGAACAGAAAAAAAGTTGCATTTTCAACACATGAGAAAAGAAGAAGAGTTATTCCATTAAAGAAATTCAACTTAAACAGTAGGTTGTAACCACAAATACTGTACAGGCTGCAAAGATCTCTTTTTTTAATTATGACAAAGACGAAAAAACTAATAGGACTTCCAAATACCCATGGTGAGCCATGGCTAAAGATACTCATGTTGTTCTAGCTGTGCTACCCCACATCCAGTGCTTTACAGTGGACAACAGTTTGTAAATTATCCCATTCTGCATTGTAGCCCTAAGTACTCCTACCACTCCCATTCACCTGCCACCTCTCCACTCTGCTCCCCTCCTACGCAGATACTATCACTTGATGGAGCTTCAGGTAACCACAAGCAGCCCTAGACATAACTGTGCAATAGATCCATCCCCTTAACTGCAGAATATTCTTCCCTGAACTACAGCTTCCCTTTCCTCCCCCCTCAGTCTTTCAGAAGATCAAGTAGAAATTCCCTCAAGCATTACTTGACAGCTATGCTGATGGGCTCAGAAAAAGCAATGTAAGCACCTCCAAAATACCATAACAATATAAAGCTACACAAAGGGATTACTCCCAAGTGGACGAAGTGTCAAATTCATTCTCCAAAGTTATTCAGTATTTTAATACAGCTGTGCAGATGAATATATCTAAGGGGTAACTGTAATAGAACATTTTGGCTTTGTCTATACATAAACATTTGAACAAATGTAAATAAAAGACATATCTAATTAGACTGATGTCTGTTCCTACCTAGGAACACCCCAACCAGAGTGACTTACAGTGAATTAAATGGACTTCAGACACCACGCTAATTTGCCCACTTGCTATCTGAGAGTTACATAGGTTAATGACCATCTCAGTGATGCATTGGTGCAAGTGCTCTATTTTACAATGCATATGGCTCATCACTGTGTGAACTGCACATGAACCAGTTGCATGCCAGTCAAATTTTTTTAAAAGTAGTAACCCTAAGCTCCAGCACAATGACTTGAGTACGGCAAAACGGAATTTATTGCTTCTTCTCTAATGCAAAGGGATGTAGCTACAGTACCCAGGTAGAAAACACTAATTTAGTTTAGTCAGAACTGATCACTATTGTTAACATTAAACAAGACCCCAAAAAAAGTCACCTTGTGTAGCAATAACAAGGCATGTCATTTTGTTATTATAAGCTGTAGTAAATGCCATGAGCTACACTACGCACCGTTTTCAAATTAAATGCACATGTCAAACTACAATTTTATATTTCCCCTTAAGAAACAAGTTTTTAGAAGGTGAAGAGGCTAACCAGTTGTAACAACAAAACCCCCCCAAACATCTTGTATTGTGGTCACAAAAAACAAAATGCAACTCTTACCACTCCCAGTTTTTCAGAAGCATTAGCTTTCCACAGACGAATATTCATCTCATCTGAGCCACAGAGAATGTATTTGTTATCTGAAGTCCATTTTACAGTGATGACGTGCTGCATTCGCTTCGTATGATACACCTCCCTAAAGCAAAGAGAAACTTTTTTAAATGACCATCACTTTTCCCACCAACATAACCTTTCATTAAGGACAAAGCGTTCTGTTAAAGGCAAAACATATTTTTGGCTTTCTTTTGGTTTTTGGGGTTTTTTTTTAGGTTTTTATTCCTGGAATAATTTTCACATGTTGTTATACTGATCAAGCATTACAGAACAGAAGTGCAGAAGAATGGGTTCCAAAGAATCTGACACCATCATTATGAACAAGCAAGAGAACAGTAAATAAACACCTCCAGCTGTCCATTTATGTCATGGTAATGTGTTGGCTATTCTTCATCGTGATTTCCCTCGTTTCCCCAAAAATGAGCTTTCTTATCATTGTCTGAAGGACTCCTAGGAAAAAATTTAAACCCCTAAAAACTCAAAAAGTCTCCAGTCCTGTGAACAAGACCTCAACAAGAAATATCATCTAGTGAAAAAGGATTCAGAACAGCAATGTCACTATTAAAGCATAAACTACATTTAATCTTTGCTGATCAGACTTCTGATAAGCAAGTGCCGACTCCTCTTGAGAAATATTTCTACATGTTACATTTAAACCAATATTTAAACAAAACTCTTATTTAATTTTCATTAAGTATGTACCCAACAAGCAGAGCAATGTTATTCATAAAGTTACTATTTTATTTCTGCTATAAAAATATAGGACTAAGTACACTTCTCTGGTAATTTTAATTCTTTATTAATTTATAAAATAATTATTTATTAAAATAAGTCAATGAATACCCACTCCTTTGGTATATCAATCGCACACTGCAGCTAGAGACCATTCTCTTCCTTCTACCCAGTTATTTTTACAAGTAAAATCCAAGTAGTAATGGAAAGGAAATATGGGAACAACACCTGTTGAAGAGCAGTGGAAAAACTAGACTGGGGTTGGGCTGGAGGGGTTGTGAGAAAAACAAAAGTAATCAGCTTTAATAAGCTTAACCACCTCTTGTAATTCACACGCAAGTGATAAGTGATGCTCTATGAGAACAACCATGTGGAAGACTGTGCCCAAGTACCTTCAGAAAACTTTAACACTCACATCATCTTTTTACTGATGTTGATGTTTGATAGCATGTGTGCACATACGCACGTTCATAAGCATTTCTATGTTTACCTTCATTATACTATTTGGCTCTTCTTCACCCACCTTTGGGGAACTAAGGGCTTTTCTTTTCCTTACTCTGAATTTTCTGCCTTTGCCTCTCCTGTTGCTGTCATTGTAAGTTATTAAATATAATTCTCAGGGAAAGCAAAAACATAAAACATGGCCAAATAACCTGGATCTGCCATTTAAAAAATTTGCACAGACACCCAGTTGTGTTTACCAAGAATTTACTAAATTTAATCAACTTCATAATAAATCTTATCTCTTAAGGCTAATCAATTTCCTAATTTAAATTTGCATTTTAAAATAAAATAGAAAGCAATGGAAGTTAGGAGTTTTCCAGATTGGCAGGAGAAAATGAAAACTACTCGTAGATCAGTTATAAAGGAAAATGTAAACAACCCTTCTCAATCTTTAATGCAGTATAGGAGCATACAAACAGTTACGTTGAATAATGCATACGTAACTGCATCAATCACTAATAAAAATATACTCCTCCCCCAATCAGTATTTCAACACTTCCACCCCCGAAACCACCTAGAACTTGATCTAGTAGCAACTTCTTTGGGGGCAACGTTAGAGAGAGGAAGGCAGCTAGAAGTAAAATGAAGCTAAGAATAAAAAAAAAAGTGGAAGAACTGACAACAGAGAATAATGAAGGTAGGTTTATGAAGAAGAAATGATACCAGACAGATCTGATAACTTGCTTCAATTTTAATCAAAATGAAAAAAAAAAGTTATGGGGACTCAGTAGATCCAATCTGAACTTCAGCAAAATATTTAATACGCTGTCTTATGAAATCTTACGTGAAAAACTAATTCAAAGTGAATTGTATTCAAAGCATTGTCACATGAATCAGAAACTGGTTAACAAAATATGAACAGAAGGTAATAAGCGTACTGAGACAGATAACAAAAGTGTCCCAAACTGATCCTCAGGAATACATACAACAATGCTTTCCACATTACAACTTTAGCAATCATTCATACAGGATGAAGACAGTCCCCAGAAAACCAAAAGCTATGACGTTGTAAGGCACTACAAACTGAAGTGGTGACAGATACAGTACAAAGTGACCTAAAAACATTCAAGATATATACAGAGGGAAATAAGATGGGATTTATCTTGGTAAAATACAAATGAGTACACCCAAGAACAACAATCTACTGTATTTTTAATCCAAAATTGCATAAATACTGCTATCCATTAAGTAGGTTGACTCTAACACATACTCCAGAATTATCTGAGAACTACATGACCTGCCAATCTCAAGTTATATACAGAACAAGATTTCAGTATTCACAGAAAGTGCATGCCTCAATAAAGATGTTAATGAACGAATTAAGAATTTTGAGGACTAGGAAGGGAGGTCACTGGAATGAGTGACAGCAAGAGAAAGCTGTAAAATCACTTACCTGCTGCGACCTTTGTCTACAGGAAAAATGCGGACAGACTTATCAAAGCTGGCAGAGATTTTTTTTTGAATAATCAACATCAAGAACAGCAGACACATGATCCATATGCACCGTCACAGGTGATTCAAGAAAGCGCATATCAAAAGTATATAAGCTTTAAAATAAATACAACAACAGTTTAATATCTTAACAACTCCTAACTAAATAGTACATTTTTGCTGAACAGCTACTTTAATCATACATAAACCACACTTAAGAATAGACCCATATAGCAGCCTGGTGACCTTAACATATCATAACCAAAATAGATGAAAAGCAGAACACTAAGTACAACACCCGCTTTCAAGGCCTGGGCCAGATTCCATTTCCTTGGAAAAACAGCCTTAAGATAAGCAACAAAATTTCTATGTTCTAGAAGAAAACAGTGATCTATTGTTAGATCACACATTTCCTGGAAAAAAAAGGATATGGAGCACATTTTGCACTGGCCCACTTTTGAAGAGACAGCTTTTTCAATATCAGATTAGCTGTTCACATGAATGCTATTGTTCAAAAGTAAAAAACTGCTCTGAGACATTAAAAGGGTAAGTATTATAGTCTCTGCAACCGTTTCACAACAGATTAACTTCTTTTTAATACGAAATGTTCTCATCAAAATAGCTCATCAGTACAGTATATCAAGTTTCACAAGAGCTGGCAAGAAAATAAACACTTAGACAGTCTCAGACTGGACCAACAGTATTTATTTTCCAGGTCCCATTGCAAGTTACTCTTGCATTGGTTAGGCTGCATTTTTTTTGTAAGTGCTTTTTTCCCCCAAGTACTGAAATACAGAGGAAAAGGCACTCTTACTATCAATTCCTTATTTTTAAACCAGAAAGCCTGTAATTCTCTAGATTACTACTTAAGTGATTAAAATTTAGAGTTTAAGTAGTGTTTTAAAAATGTATTTTAGCATGATGATAAACAACTAAGATAGAGATTAAAAACATAACATGATCAGGTTATCAAAAAGCAAGATCACACTTACTTGTAATCTTCATTTGCTGCAGTAAAAACAAAAGCTTCCATGGGGTTCCAGCACAGTGTATTTGTCCTCATGTTCAAGATAACCTAAAAAATATTTACACATTGCTACCTTGTTACAGACAGTAAAATACTCACTATAGTTCAAAGCTTCCTATACTGCTGGAGACAAGCACTTCCTAGACACAGAATTATGGCAGAGGAATAGTGACATGACAGAATGTTTCCTTAGCAGGGTTAGAACTGGAACTCAAGAACCTCCTGTCTCCCATCATATGCCCACTGCTTGGTGTTACACTGCAGTTAAGATTTTCCTCTGTAACTCATCTTAGAAGCAAATTCTTCTAAGTGGTCATTTAACATGTAGCCATATTAGTGGTCAACATGTAAACCTGGAACTTATGAAAAATTTCACTTCTCCATCACATTTACAGCAATCTTTAGTCAAGTAATTATAAACACACCTAATCAAATTGTTATTTCAAAGGATACAGTTGACACTGCGAACCAGCATTTGCAAAGCAATTACAACATTCTGATGTTCTCCTAGTTATTACTGTCCCTTCGTTATTTTATCTCTGAAATTGCAGTGCATTAATTCTCCAGGACAGCTGCCATTTCTTGTTGAAGTGCCAAGCAATGTGTGCAGGAGTTACTGTGTTGTAATCTACTCACTACTATCACTGTATTAGCAGTGGATCATTTGCTACACATTCGTAAGATTTGCTTGCTGCTAGTAAGCAGATGGCTACAGAGAGGCCAGTTTGCCTTGAAAGTGGGAAGAAGGGAGCTGATAACAGCCGAGTAAGACCCTTCTGCTTTGCTAACGGTGGACTAGACAAGGCATTAAGAAGCTTGATGTCAGATGAATCCACCTTGGGGGACAGCTGTGGCAGTAACAGCTGGGCCCCCGGGCGAGGCAGGGAGGAGGCCACCTGACACCCCATACAACACAACAGCTTTGACTTCTGCTGAGTCTTGGAGGAGCTTTCAACCATTGTAGTTAAAAATAAATTCCATACAGTATGCCTGATGCAAAGTCGATCTATAATTACAGAGTGACTTATTAGCTATCTAAACAACTCAAAACAGGATTTTCCACAATGCTCCAGGCCAGCTGTAATCCTGCTTGAAAATGCTGAAGTCTGGGTGTTTAATGCTATGGTACTCCAAACCCATTTTTGTTGTCAGCTTACTATGCCAAACACCATAAATGTACATACATATAAGAAGATATAGTTGTACAATTATAGCTTTTACAGTAACGAACACAATCTCAAAGCAAGTTAACAGTGATGCAAAACACTGCTCATTTTCAGAAATCACACGCATCCAGAACTGAACGTAGTGATTAGATGATCTCTATGTTAAACAGCAACGTTACTGAAAGGACAGGCCACTGAAAGGCCCTATGTTTACCATAGTGTGACAACTAGAATTTGTTCAGATTTCAGTATTGCTCTTCTAATTATAAACCTTGCACAGATCTGGAAAGCTAACTATCAGGAAGGGTTCTTTATTCTTCCCTGACCAAGTCTTTCAATCCCTGCAAAATGACTACATGATTAACTGAAAGGACATTATGTGCATGATAAATATTTCAAATCATGCCACAAAATAACTCAAACATTGATGGAAAATCCAGCCCCTTTTCAGAAGGAGTCAAGTTTGGTCAAATTCCATGCTCCACATCTTGCTTCACTATTTTTTTTCAACCAAACTTAAAGCATTCGGTTTATTTCAGTAGTAGCATTTGGAATTTAAATAGTGTGTAAGAAAAGGATTCTCTGTACCGTTCTAGCATCATATTCAGTAACAACTACATAAAGCAACCTGGTCTGGAAATGATGTAAATACATTAGTAAAGGACTAATCAGAACTATCTGAACCTGTAGCAGAGCCATCATCAGACACTGCTTTTTATCAATTGTAGATACACTTGGTCATTTCATAAGAAAAAGTCCTTATTAAAACACAGTTTTTTTATAAGCATTGTCTCCATGGCCCAAATTAAACTTCATTAAAAATTGTTGGGGCACAGGTAGAGAAAGAAATACTATTATGTCAACAACATTCATAACTAAGTTAAGTACCATTATAGTGTTCTAGTGTATCTCAGACCACTGTCCTTGCAGACAGTGCATAACATACGAAGAGGATACTGAGTATATATTCATGAGCCAAAATACTGTATTTCAATAAGAAAATTGTTAAGACAGTTCTGGGGCTCAAAACTACCAAACTTGATCAAAGTTCATGTGTGTGTAAGAATTACTGCCTTCTTGTTTTAAATAAATACATACATTCTCTTAAACATAAATAAAGGATGTTCATGTCATTGGTAAATTCCACATATAGCTCTGATTCCACTGCAAAGGATTTCTGAATGTTTATACAGATGTGTAGGGGAGGGTTTATCCCCACACAAAAGAAAAACACCTTTTCAAATGCAGAGTAAGGCTCCCCATCTGTGGAAAGGAAATGCGTGCAGAAGTTACCTTGTTTCCTTCTGGCAAGGAAAAAAAAAAAAAAACCCACACATACACAGACAGAATGCAATAAAGGAACGTAAAGTTCTTACTGTGAAATTGCTGTCAGGTCAGGCACTTTATCAAGAGTTACAACAGAGTGAGCATGACAGCCCATCTGAATGCAGGAAAGGGCCTGTTTGACTCTGCATGGTTTAAAATCCCAACATTAATTCAAATTCAGTTAAAAGACTCAAAATTAGACAATGAAAACTAAGTGAATTCACAGTTCAGAGCTTCCCTGTCTCTATTGTCATCAACAGTTACAGACTATCTACATATTCAGTATGATTATTAGTGCCATAAGCTTCTGTTAAAAAGAAAAATATTACCTTCTTTAATGGAGTTGATTTTCTCATATCATATAGAACAATATTTCTGTCAGATGCACAGCTTCCCAAAAGGTATGTCTAAAAAGAAAACCAAAACACCACAGTGTGTATTGTCTTCTAAACACTTCTAGAGTATGGTCAACAATTTCCATTAGATACCTAAGCTGTTCCACAAAGCTGGTAGTCAAACAGATCCTTTCTCAACCAAGGAAATACATTCATTGTTCTTTCTGTGCAGCTAATTATTGAGCATAAACATTTTAAACAGCTTTCCCTGTAAAATTCAGAATCCACCCAGTCCTCCCTACTTCACAAGGAACAAGCAATTCCTCATGAACACTTCATCAATGAACACAGCCCACCCAACAGGTATATAGGAACTACTGTAGAAGATCAAATGAAACGGTTTTGCCATGGAGAGGGGGAGAAGTCTTGGTCACAGAGAGTACAGTACTGGAACAGACGAGAGCTCCACAGCCACCTAACTGCTACACTGTATGACTGAGGTATGGGATATGCACTGCTGAGGGCAGAACACTGACCACCCTACTTTTCTTTCTCTTCTCCCGCACTAACAGAAACAAAAGATAAAAAGATGATACTACGTGGTACTACATTCCAAAGCAAAATAGTTATAAATGTAAATATACACTCCCCCTAACTACTATGTTAAAACGTATCAAAAAACCTAAATTTGGAAAAAGCTGTTAAAGATGTTGTTAATAGAGATTAGATCTTACGCTCATCGAGAAAAATACTGGTTTTCAATACATAACAGAAACATTACCTCAATGGGATTAAATTTTACACTGCTTATGCTATCAAAACCCCATGTCAGAGAACACATGGGACTTGTCCTTTGCTCATCCCAAATGTCCACTTGATGGCCACAGGTGGCAAAAACAGCTTCCTTCCAGTGGTGATCAATTCCTGTATATACTGTCTTTAAAAGACAAAACAAACAAACAAACAAACAAAAATTTACAAAACCAGCTGTATACATAAATATATAAGTATGTTGTTACAAAAAAGATCAACAAAACATTGCATATCAAGTCTGCCACTTTTTATTTATTTATATTACTGAAAACCAAGTCATCACTGCTACCAGAAACTAAGTCTTACCAGATGTACCCTAATACAATAGAGTAACTTTCTGTGTACTCACTTAAATGCATGCATGCATGCATTTCTTGTTAACTTACAATGGAGTCAGCATTAGAAGCCCATTTACAAAGTCCTGGCTAACTTTAGAGCAAACAGGAATTTTTAAGGGTACAACTACAAACTTTCAATGGGGACCTGAACAGATTCCATAGACATTATGATAATTAAAGAGTTTCAAACTATCTATTTACAAAAAGCATGTAATGTTGCTCTTAAAATAAGCTTATCATAAACTGAAAGTGCTAAAGGACATATTTTTAGTCTGCTTTTGTCAAAAGAAAGACATAAAGACAAATTTTTGTATTGATGGCTGCAAGGTGTCAGCATGAAAAGAAAATTATTTAATGCAGACTAATCACTGACAACACACAACTGAAGAGAAAGAGACTACAGGAAGATCTGACCAGTTTGCAGGAAAGGTTGAATAGTAGAGACCGATTTAAGCAGTCTCTGATCACACTGGAGATATTCCTTTCTGGTTACTTGTAAAATAAATACAATAAAAACTTCAAGATACTTTAAAAGTGCCATTATCAAATTTGATGCCATCACCTTATACCCCATTATGATAACAGGTGATATCAAACTACTTTCCTCTCCCCCAAAAGCTAGATAAGAATTAGTTCAAACTTAATTCAAAAGGAGAGATGTGAGAAAAATCAAAACTTAGATTTACTACCTTTCCCAGAATTGTATGAATAGGTTCTTCTTCTTCTCCATATTCCGGGCTCTCCATTTTCCACTGCTTCACAGTTTTGTCATCACCAACCTGGAAATATTGGAGAAAGCACGTACAGTTTTAGGTGAATATATTCCATTTATTTTACTAGATGTGCTCTGCAATTCTGTACAGGCAGCCTTTTAAAAGAGAATGACCTATGAAATACACGGAAGTGCAGTGCTCTCTCTTGCTTATTCACTGTTCCCTTTTTCGCCTTCAAGCTGAAGATGAGTTGCCCTTATCATAATATTTTGCTAGAAACTGTGAAGGTACATGTACATCATCTGGCTGGGATGGAGTTAACATTCTTCATAGCAGCCCATACGGCACCGTGTTTTGGATTTGTGGCTAAAACAGTGCTGACAAGGCACCAACGTCTTGGTTATTGCTGCACAGTGCTTGCACAGTGTCAAGGCATGTACTTCAGAAAACATAAACATACAGCAGTAAAAACAGCTCTTCAATGCCCAGCTCAACAGAAGCAAAACCTCAGGACACTCTACTCTCCAAAACCAATTATTTTTATTGTATCATCTTAGAATTGTTTTAGTGCAAACAGGAAGACATACAATTTCCAGATGGTTTACATGCAACTGAATCAGTTGCGATTGATACAAGGTAATAAAGCTTCAACACAACCTTACTGAACATAATTACTCAACTGGAACCGTCTTGAATTAATCAGCTTATCTTTAGTCACAGGGTATGAAAATGGTTACTTTTCTAAATGTTTGTATGTCTTTGAATGAACATAATCTATCCACTTCTTCAACAAACATAACCTATCTACTTCTTTAATCAAAACTAGTTATTCAGGTTTTAATTACATGACCATCCATTAGCAGTTTTCTGGTATTTATCCTTTCCATAGTCTCGAATAACATCCATATCAATACATCAAAAAATGTTTATCGTAAACAGAACTGTCAGGCTCACTGACAAACTGAATATACGCGTTCATACAATATTTAAATATTGTACTGTATGCCGGAGGGTAAGTTGCTCAGTGGAAAACAGGTGGTGAACGGGCACTCTGCACTGCTACACTGTACTAAGGAGACACATTATACTTACAGTAAAGAATGATGTACCACAGAAACGAGCACACATGCCTCGAACAAAGCCTTCATGGGCTTGTATAGTACGAATACACTGTCGTTTGGTCAAGTTCCAAATTTTAACCTGTTAAAAACAGAAAAGATATTTAGCTTTTCTACAGCTTGCAACTGCAGTTCATAATTCAAGCACGAGAGATTACACATGTTGTCATGACATGGCCTAGCTGGCTTGAGCACTGGGCATATTTAATAATGTTAAAACTACTTAAGTATTCCCTTCTGAAAAAAAAATTAAAAGTGCTGCTCTTGCCTTCTTATCCCCTCCCCCTACCCAAGCTATATACTTTGGGTATTTTTTCATTCCCCTATTTCTGAACTAGAATTCTTGCTAAAAGACAGCAGTAGTGATAATTTTAGCAACAAAAACCCTCTCTGAAGAGAAAAAAGCACATAGAAATGAGCTTTGAAACCAAAAGCATGTTTTCAGTCCAGTTGCTATATTACATTCTATATAGATGTCCACCTCTCAGAGGTTTTAGTCTCAAAGCATTTGCGTACGTTTAAAACAAAAAAGAAATGGTGATCAGTTTTTATATTTGTATGTACTGATAGTACCCAGTACTTTACTCACTCTGAGTGGATAAGAAACCTGGCCAACGTTTCATTTCAATTCATTCCCCTCCTCTTTGAAAAGGTTAATATCCCTTACACTACTGCATGACGTACGTGCCTTCTATAAAAAGCAGAAAACAACCAGCTACCCAGAAGACACTTTTAAAATATACAAGTACTATCAAATGAACAACGTAAGGGTAAGTAAGGACAGAGAAGGCAGAAAAGACAGGCAATTCTTTCCTGCAACTGACTCCAATAAAAGTGCCCTTGCTTGCTACTTCATATATTTACATGAAATAATCAAACTACTATAGGGTTGGCATTTTTTAGGCAACATGCTAATTGTTATTCCACAAAATTTTTTGGTTTTGTGCCCCTTCCCCCCAGCTCATCGGACTTCATGTAATCTTCTGAATCTGCAGCAGTTTAACTTCTTCAAGGGGAAAAGAGATTGGGTGGGCAGCACAAAGTACTCACTACGGACTGTAAATATTAACATTTGCTGCTCCATCCTGAGGAACTGGATGTCACACCCCTTGCTCACAGCTGAACAGCTGAACTCTGCTGCCTAAAGATTTTGCAACTCTTTGTGCCCTGGGAGGTCACAACCTGCAGTTTGAGAAACTGCCCCAAACTGGGTAAACTGTACCTTCTGAGAGAAGACAGGGTATCACAGCTGAACAAAGACACAAAAAAAGAGAAAAGCAGGGGGCACTTAAGAGAAGAAAACAAAACAAAAACACCACACCATAACAATGCAAAAGAGGAAGAAAAAAGAAGGAAGAAAGGTATCTTGTTTGTTGTGGTTTGGAACTGCAGCTTACCTCTCCATCGCAAGCTCCAGACAGCACTGTAGACAAACTCTTCGGGTGTTTGGCCATGCAATTAACTCCATCCCTGTGGCCATCAAGTGAGGTAAGAAATGGTTTTGCAAACACCCGTTCTAGCTTTGTCGCATTCAGAGCTCTTGTGTACTCTCTTGGAACCTCAAATGGATGCAATAAAGGGTCATAGTTTCTTGGAACTGCAAATAAGAATAACACAGACATTAGAAACCCAAGCTAAGCTGAATTAGGAAGCTTTTCTCTTTGACTTTCCTGCCATGGGAGAATTTTCTGCAACACCAACATTTTTGCCATTCCTACTGTTTTGAAATTGGTCGAAGGGATCATTAGTAACACTTAACAAGCTTGAAGTTAACAGTCTGAGAAAACTCTGGCATTATTCTATGTCCTTTTCAAGAGTATAGTGCCAAACCAATGAAGATATGAATGCACACAACAAACCAGAAGTTGCAAATATCTTGCAACTATTATTTAAAAAAAACCCAAACAACAAAGGGGGCCTACAGGAAAGATGGGGAGGGACTCTGTATCCGGAAATGTAGCGATAGGACGAGGTATAATAGCTTTAAGCTGAAAGAGAGTAGATTTAGACAGGATACTAGGTGGAAGTTTTTTTACTGTGCGGGTGGTAAGGCACTGGCACAGGTTCCCCAGGGAAGTTGTGGATGCCCCATCCCTGGAGGGGTTCAAGGGCAGCTTGGATGGGGCTTTGAGCAACCTGGGCTAGTGGAGGGTGACCCTGCTTGTGGGAGGAGGATTGGAACTAGACAATCTCTAAGGTACCTTCCAACCCAAACCATTCTATGAAGAAACCAACAATCACAAAGAAAAAAAAAAACAAAACAAGAAAACCCACAAAAACCACCACCCACAATACCAACCTTCTACCATTAAACTCTAACATGCACAGAAAGGACACGGCTACATGGACAGGCACAAAAAGAGGCAACCTAGCTCTCTTCATGTTTAGTTAGCTGCAAGCCAGCCCTGGCTCAGAAACGAGACTCATTAGTTTTATTAGCTTGGTTCTCTGCTAGCACCATCTGGTTTCCCAGACAGGAGTGTTTACATCCAATAAGTTTCAAGCAAGGGTTTTCTCTGCCTCCGCCTGCACAGATATACCTTGCAACAAATTGAGAAAGACAGCGGATATTGGCATTGTGCTTCTGTTTTCTGTCTCTTTCATTCTGTTTCATTCAAAAAGGTTGAAAAGTCAGCAGAGCAACTGACAACAACTCATTAAGAACCGATACTTAGTTCAGGCTGCTGATTACCTGATGCACAAAACCTCTAAAATCTCGGATGAAATGGAGCTGGCTATCACTCTGCAATACACAGCATTTGATTGAACAGCTTAGAAAATTAAGATCTATTCAGCTCCTATCCCAGTGCGTAACTTCGACAATACTTTACCACGCTGTAAGGATGTTATACCAGTTAAATAACTAGAGAACGCTAGTTCTGATGCTCCTTCAACACGAGGGCAACACAGCCACCCACCAGCAATTCAGTGAAACAATGAAGCATATGTAATTTAAAATACTATAGGCGTATTATCCTGCTCAAAACTGTTTGATTTAGCGCCCCCAAGACACCCCGTGTTATCCCTGCTCTGGGACTATCTCTACTCTCGGAGCACCAGAGCGGTGACAAACCCCCAGCTCCGCACTCCAGCCCCTTCAGACCAGGCTCCGGCACCCC